CAGTCAAGCTTTTTATCAAGCTTTGTGGACAAAATGTCAAAAGAAGATCAAGGAAAAAGCAGATGAGACATTAGCTCGAGCTACATTTGCAAGTGGCACAGCTCTTTCCATAACTGCAAATCAATACCAGAAGGAACATTACAAGCTAATTCACCCATCATATAAGTTATCGGTTATCACATTCTCTCTTAGACAGAGAAGGCTTTCAGCTCAATGAAGACAAAAAAGAGGAATAGACTAACGAATGAAGGCAGTGCTAGGCTTGTTTCTGTTTCTCATAATCTCTTGCTTCTGAAGAATTAGTCAGAAGCACAATTCATGAAGAACGTGCAGTTGATGATGCCCATAGAATCATTGGTAAAACCACCCTTTAGCGAAAGAGAATGTGGTTCAAATAGTTCTGAATCAGATTGGCTTCAATCTGATTCGGAAATGGAACTAATAAGTAGTGCAAGTGATTCCACAGATAGTGTCAGTGAAACTGGAGGTGCTGCAGTGACCCCAGTGGAAAAGAGCTAAACTCTGTTGAAGTAGGTGAGTGGACAATCACGGCGCATCACTCATAGTTCTTTGGGTGCGCTAAAACTAGTGTGTCAACAGTTTTCAGTGCCTTCATTTTTTTTCCCTTAAATTTAAACAAGCAATGTAAGGGAAGTACATGCTATTGTGCATTGTCTTTACATTTTTACAAGTATTCCAATAAAAATGATTTCTTTCCACATAAAGCTTTGAGTTTGAATATAACATTTAAACCACATTAAGTGTGCTGTACTTGATTTTTTTCCTAATCAAATTTTTCAGTTCAAATACTTGTGGCTTTTGGGACATAAAATTAACATGGGGGTACTTTTTTTAGTTTTGTTTACTAAATACAAGTCTCATAAACATGCTAAATCAGATCACACTCTATTTAGGGCTTTGGAAAATTTTCCAATTCAAAATTTTCTGGAAAACCCACATCTCTGGTCCCGGGGCTGGTTTTGTTCAGTATCTTCATCAACGACCGGGAACATGGAAGTGCACCCTCAGCAAGTTTGCAAATGGTACCAAACTGGGGAAAGTAGTAGATACGCTGAAGAGCAGGGCTGGGAGTCAGAGAGACCTCAACAAATTGGAGGACTGGACCAAAAGAAAAGAAATCTCAGGAGTGTCAATTAGGAAAAGTGCAAAGTCCTGCATGTAGGACGGAACAATACCATGCACCGCTACAGGCTGGGGATTGACTGGCTAAGCAGCAGCTCTGCAGAAAAGGACCTGGGGGTTACAGTGGACGATAAGCTGAATATGAACCAACAGGGCCCTTGTTACCAAGAAGGCTAACAGCATACTGGGATGCATTAGTAGGTGCGTTACCAGCAGACTGAGCGAAGTGATTCTTCCCTATTCAGCACTGGTGAAGCCACATCTGGAGTACTGTCCCCAGTTTTGGGGCCCCCACTACAGAAAGGATGTGAACGAATTGGAGAGAGTCCAGCAGAGGGCAGCAAAAAGGGTGAGGGGGCTGGAGGGCATGACTTCTGAGGACAGGCTGAGTAAATTGGGCTTATTTAGTCTGGAGAAGAGAAGACCTGAGAGGGGATTTAACAGCAGCCTTCAACTACCTGAAGGGGGGTTACAAAGAGTATGGAATTAAACTCTTCTCAGTGGTGGCAGATGACAGACCAAGGAGCAATGGTTTCAAGTTACAGCAAGGGAAGTTTAGCTTAGATATTAGGAAGCATTGTCTCACTAGGAAGGTAGTAAAACACTGGAACAGGCTACCCAGAGAAGTTGTGGACTCTCCATCCTTGGGGACCCGGCTAGACAAAAGCTTTGCTGGAATGATCTAGTTGGGGATGGTCCTTCTTTGAGCAGGGGGTTGAACTACAACAGGGACGGGCAATTATTTCGGGCAGCGGCTGCTTACCAAGTTTTGGCAAGCTGTCGAGGGCCGCGTCGGTAGCCCCGCCCCTTGGCAGATACCCCCCCATCACCATCTTGTGACCAGAAGTCCCGCCTCCTAACCCCTGACCTCGCCAGCATAAGTTCCTCCCCGTGCCCCCAGAAGTACTCCTTTCAGCAAGGGGATTTGCCATTTCAGAACCAGAAAAATACCAAATTATATTCTAAAAATTGAACATCTACAACATCCATTAATTTGATTCCAAAAATATTTTTGTCCTGATTCACATGTGTTTTGTAGTGTACACAAAGGTGTACAGTCATGCCTCCTTCCATGCATGTGTGGCATGGCAGGAGGCAGCAGTGTAACTAGGGTGGGGTGAGTGCCTTGTCAGTAGGGAGGGGTGTGATAAGCTTCGGTTGCCGATTTGATTCAGAGAAGATTCAGCGGTGGCCAAATCATCAAATATGAATCAAACCGGGAGACCCATTAAAAGTTCCAAATCAATTTCAAGCATTTGAATTGATTTGGAAAAGATTCGGAAGAGATTCAGCGATTGGGAAGGCAGTCTTTTGGGGAAACAGAAACTGAGAAGGGGAAGGAGGGGGAGAAGTGGGGGGAAAAACTGCTCTGATATTGACATCTGTAGCTGGCCAGAGACTGTGCTCTTTCCTTGAGTTCCCTTCCAATCACAGTGCTCTGGGGGAGGGATGTAGAAACAGCATATAAGGCTCGGTGTGAAGCCTCTCTCTGCCTTTTGTGAGTTGTCTGTCTGGAAGCAAAAACGTGTAAAGGGATTGGATACAGCTTACTAACTACCATTGCCTAGAATCCCTCTACTTATCCTTATCCAATCCATTCCTTTCAACTTATTCTTCCCCCAAAATCCTCTTATTTGTTCTTGTTATTTTTTTCCCCCCTACACTTTTTAAGAAGAAAGCCGTGTTTTCCCTGGCAGTCTCTCATCCATCACTGTGCAGGAAAGCACAAATATTTTTGCGCGCACACACACACACACACACACACACACACACACACACACACACACACACACACACACACACACACGGTATATTACAGACATACACGCACATTCCAGCACAGCAAACATTATGAAGCATGCTGGAAAGGCAGGTGCCAGGTCTTCTGGCAGAGGAGGGAGAGGGGCTACAGAGGGTTAGGGGAAGAGCTGCAAGTTACACACCCCCAAACATAGACGCACCTTCTTGCCTGGTAGCAATGAGTCTTCTGCTGCCAGTGCGAGCAAGGAGGTGGGAGCAGTACCTGTCCCTGTACCTGCACCACCTCCACTAACACCAGAAATAGCCACCAGCATGACAGTCTCCTCCAAGAATGACAGTCTCCTCCACCCCAATTTCATCTCCCAGCATAAGCCTCCCAGTGCCAGAGGAGAAGCTGGATCTGGAACCAGGGGACCTGAGCACCCTAGCAAAAGAAATTCTGGGGACTGAGAGGGAATCTGAGCTTGTGCTCCACATCCCTCAAAGTTCCCCTAGACCCAGGTCTCCTTCTCCAGAAGGCACCTCAGAGGAGGTTGTGGGGGCAGGTGGCTCAGCTTCCCCTCTTTTTGTGCCTCTGCCTGCTAAGGAGGGGGATAAGGCAGGATCCCTGTGCTCCAACCAGAAAGGGGGGGGGGGGAGATGATCCCAGGTATGCTACCTGTCAGCACTGCCAAAGGCAGATCAGCTGTGGCAAGGAGGTGAAACACTTCACCACCACGGCAATGCTGCTGCATCTCAGGAGGCAGCACCCTCTTGCCCTTGTTCCTCCTCAACCTGGCACCAGTGGGAGCGTGCCCAAAAAGAAGTCCCCCTTTCACTCCAAATCTCCCTGTCTCCACGAAGCAAAGGCAGGCCAGCCTGAACCGGTGGGGGAAAGCCACAGACAAATGGGGTGGGGGGTATTGCAAGGGAGAGCAAAGTCACCCAGAGCACTGGGGGAGAGTCAGGACTGAGAGACTGGAGGGAGAGTTGCTCTCTTATGAGAAATGTGCCCCCGTTGGTAATAGGGTATTCTTGTCTTTAATAGATGTCTGGTATGCATTCAGTCTGGTACACAGTTGTTCTTTGGTCTCTCCTATGTATTTTCCATCAGGGCATTTGGTGCACTGGATGAGATATGTAACGTTTCTGGAGGTACAGCTATAAGATCCAGGAATAGTGATGGTTCTGTTGTGGGGTGTAGTAGTTGTGGGGGTACTAGAGATATGTTGGCAGGTTTTGCATTTCTTGTCATGGCATGGTCTGGATCCATCTGGTGCATTTTGGCCTATAGGAAGTTTGCTTCTGGTGATGAGGTTAGCAAGATTTGGTGCTTGTTTGAGTTTACAAACCACTTTTCACAGATAAGCCTATGAACTTCACTTCATCAGCCTCCTAGATACAAAAAACTCATGGACTCAATATAGACATTGGATTTATGACACACTATAACCGACCTAACATCTGACTCCCCAGGTAGCTCTCCATTTTTACCTGCTACATCCCTGAATCAGAGCCAAATCTTTCAAATCCAATTCGGCTGAATCAAATTGGGACAGTGATCCGAATCGAATCACTGTCCCCCGATTCGGGCAAATCTGAATCAAATACTGGCCGCTGAGCACAAGCCTACTTGTCAGCCTCAGGCATTGACTCGGAGAGTGGACAGGGCACTAGGGTCAACTCCCAAGGAACCAGGCCATGGGCCTGCTGATGCCTGAGCAGAACTGATGCTGGTATAGCAGCAGCAGCAGTTGCCACTGCCAATGTTGCCCGAAAAGGTAAGCCTTCCCCCTTCTGTTCAATCAGGCCATTTCCCTTTACCCCAGTCTACAATGGTCAGCATACCTCCACATACCCTGTGCCACCAGATACATTGTACTTCTTGCCAAGTTCAATCATTAGAATTGAGGATCATATCCCAAGGCACATTTAAATTAATATTTGCCACAGGACTGGAGCAGCATGCAAACTGCCAGGAAACATGGTACAAGCCCAAAAGGGGAGACCGTGAGGAGGACTGGACTAAACCGTGATTAGTTTTGTCTTTCAGGGTTTAATATTAGTGTAAGAAAACTCATTAAATAGTACCCATCACAAGTCTCAAAGATCTGTACCTTATGTTGCAGGATCAGAACATTCTGAACGAGAAAGCGATATGCATTATACCAGGGCAATAAGACATCCTTCAGTATATCCCTTACTCCTTCTTCCTTAAATCGTAAGTTTTCTGCTCTTACCACAGGAGAATTAATGAGATACAACCTGCAGAGAAACAATGCAAAATGGTCTATTAGAAATAGCTTCAGTGCTGCTGCTTTAGTGTCTACATTATTCATAAAATTTACTTTAACAAAAAATATTTTTTGAAGGCTTACACCTGCAAATATTAATGGAAATTTGCTTCAGGCCAGAGCAAATTCAAAATGTTACAACATGTATGGGAATACATTAGAGAGAATGGATTTTTAAATGTGTGAATGAATAAATAAATAAATAAATAAATAAATAATTTTAAAAAAAAAATTAAAAACCCCAACAGAATGCTTAAGATGTTGGGCATAAACTTTGTTATTAAAGATTTATTTCTATGCCAAAGCCTTCAAGTCTATGGATGGACATCTGTATAAAAAAGTAGAAATTAAGGGTTTTTGGTGAAAAATAGCCCTGGACCATGCACCAGGAAGTTGAAAGCCATATATGCCCACAGGTGTTGGACACATTCAAATGATGTGCCAGCTCTAGCCTGGACCTGGACCTGACAATGAGCTGACTGTCAGCTCTATCCTGGACCTGCCACACACTGAATTGCATGTGCCATAAAAATAAGCCAAAAAATATTTTCCATTTTAAGTAGGACATTTTTATGGCTGTAAGCATGGCAGAGAACATCATACTGAAGAGAGTTGGGGCCAACACACAACCCTGCTGAACTCCACTGGTGACTGGGAATGATTCAGAGGACTCATAGTCATCCACAAGGCAAGTGAGTATGCCATTACAGAATTGCTGAACCATTGCAATGAATTTATCCAGGCAACCGAGTTTTGCCATGATCCTCCAAAGACCCTCCCGACTGACTGTATCAAATGCTTTTATCAAATGAAAGTCATGTACATGTTGGAGTTCTGTTCCTGGCACTTCTCCTGAAGTTGATGAGCTGCAAACACCATGACTATGGTCCCGAGTCCTTTCCTGAAACCATGCCGACTCTCAGGCAAGATCTCTTGTTCAATATGTTGCACAGAGATTCAACAGAATTCTAGCAAGTATTTTACCAGCTATTGACAGCAAGGAGATGCCCTGATGGTGGTGGCCAGATTGTCTATTGCCTTTCCACTTGTACAAGTAGACAACGGATGCATCCTTGTACTTCTGAGGTATAGTTCCAGTCATGAGTGGGGAGTTTATTAGCACATGACTTCTCTGGAATACACACAAATACTATGTAGCACTGCACTGCGGGATCACCATGGCTTAAAAGGCTGTTGATTTTTCTGAGGCCCTGCCCAATGTACTATGTGGTAAATCAGAGCTTTTTGGCTTTAGAGTAATATCATGTAATTTGTGCTATATATTGTTAGGGCAACATATGGATTTTGGATGTTGGGGTAATGACATGGAATATGGGGGTGCTGAGTGTGCAGCTGAATGAAGGCTTTTTCCTGTGTCTCAGCAAAAAGCTGCTGGTCACAAAGCTGGATGATATATTAAAAGGTAACCTCAGCAAAAGCTGGTGGTCCCAAGGCTAGCAGATATATTAAAAGCAGCTAACTTAGCTAGCTTAGCTAAGTAAGCAAAATCTTAACAGGAGAGGTAGGGTGCAAAGTTCATAATGTGTTAAAAATAGAATAGCCCACCAACTAGTGTCAGGGGACAAAAGCAGAAATACAGCCTTGGAGATGGGGAAGTCAGCAAGAAAACCAGCAAGAACCAGCAAGAAACTGCAGGTGACCAAGAAAAGATAGGGGTCAAATTCTTATGCATGCGCTCTTAGCAGAGAAGCATGTAAATGAATGAAATGCATAGGCAATACCATGCTAAGGAAGCAAACAGTAAACAGAGGTGGAGCCTGAGAAGGGAGGACAAATGGGTGGAACCAGAGGTGGAACAAGGGAGTAGTAAATGTTAATATGTATGAACCAAGGTGTATAAGTGTTAGAAAGAACTGTTCAGGGCGGCTCCCCAGTTTGTTGTTTTTTTGGGAGCTAGTCTGAAGCTGTCTCCATTCTGAATAAAGATGTTGCGAGCAATGTGTGCTGGTGCTTCCTCCCTGCTCTGCTCTGGCCAATGAGTACCAGGATCCATGGGCAATTGAATTGTCATCTTCCTAGCTGTTGGGCGCTGCATGGAGTCGGGGTCTAACATATATAAGTAGGTACAAAACTGCTGCTTAAAAGTATGTTTATGAAGTACCTGTGCTAAAACTTGCAGCAGTTAAAAAAAAAAATTTTTTTTAATTTCAACCACTATTCTCTGCTTCTATCTTGATGGATAAGGACCATACTACTATAAAGTCACAAGAAAAATAATGCAACTGTCAGAGTGGTGGTACCTATGGACCCTCACCTTTTTTTTTTTTTTTTTTTTTTTTAAATCAGCTTATACTGGTTTGACTGGGCAAATGGGACGAGTGCAAATAACAAAAAATATCCCTGTTAGGGGGCATCTATGAGCCTGAAATTGGTGGAACCATGACTTGGACTCTGAAGAAAAAAAAAAAGTCAGAGAGACCCCAAGGGACTGCAACATCGTCTAAAGTATCAGGCCCCAAAATGGCAGTGCTACATAGTTCAGCTACAAGGGAAAATATGGCAGAGGAAAGGGAGACAAGCTCAAAGCCCCCTAGGAAAAAGTAAGGGAGCAAAACCCCCTGAAACCTAAGGATTGGTATTGTTTTTAAAGCAAACAATTATGAACAAAAAGAAAAGACATCAGCATAAGAAAAAAAAATACTAAAATGTATGGGTCTACCTCCAGGCTGTGAAAGCTGGCTGACGAGAAGCTGTTCAAACTCAGCCAAGCAGTTGAGGAACTAAGGAGCAGAGATGTATGTTCCACCCTTTATCCCCTCAATAGAAGGTAAAACCTAGAGAAGGGTCAGACCAGCCTATGCTGATATGGCTAAGGAAAAAAAAAGATCTCCCAACAAATATGTTAGGGTACATCCAAATATAAGACTGCATGTGGGAAGGGCAAAACAAATGTTTCTCAAGGTTCCCTCTTCCTGGGCAATTCCATTCTGTACCCTTGGCATATATCATAATTTTCACCTTTGTCAGTGTAAAAACTTTTCTTTAAAAGCTTTACATTTGTATTACCTTAAGCCAGTATTCTGACTATGAAAACAATCTTGATTTCATAAGCTTAACTATAATAGAAACTAGGTCAGAACTGGTGCCTCACTCAACTAAACTAACTTGAATTAGAAACCAATTTAAATAACCAACTATATAGTACTTCATTCAACTGCCAAAAAATACCCTTCAATTTTATGGTATTTCAACATTGTCAATAAAATGTTTAATTCATAACTTAATTTGTCAAGTTTTATGAGCTTTAAGTAAAAAAAAAAATTCTAGATCGAGTCTTTACAGAATTTCCCTTTAGGGCACTTTAAAATCTTAATATGGGCTGACAGAGTGCATTCAAAAATATTGGACCATGAATTCATCTTGAAAGACTCTCTCACATAAACATGAATGCATACAATTCCACTGTTAGGGGAAATAGTAATGCATGAATGCAGGTAGTATAGGATTGGACACTTTTTATAGATTTAACTGTCAACTCTAAGCCCAGCGTCAGTAAATGTTAAAAATGAAAGGACTTCTCATGAATTTAAACAATTGATACCTAGCTGTTCTATATTGCCATCATCAAATGTAATAAGCTAACAAAGCCCTAAGTCAGTGGTCACCAACCGGTTGATCCCGATCAACTAGTGGAGCCTCAGATGGTCAGTCTGGGAGGGTTTAGCACATACATGCTCAGCCCCCCCAGACTGAGATAGACTGTCAGAGGCTCTGCCATTGGGAACAGTGGGACATACAAGTGGAGTGGCAGGAGCAGGATGGTGGCAGGACGCACATGGCTGGGCTGAGCATCGCCCCCTGCCACCAGGGCTGGGCCAGGTGAGTAGGGCGTCCCCCCTCTGCACCCTGCCGCCCTGCAGTGAGGGAGGGACAGGAGAGAGTGGGGCCCCAGCCGGGCTGAGGAGGGGTTGGAGCCTGGGCAACTCGTCCAGGGGTACAAGGGGGCTTCCGCGCTGCATGCATCCTGGCAAAGGCCCAGGGGCCACATACCCTCCAGATCTGTGTGCAGGGCAGAGGCGGCTGCGGCAGCATGCTGGGCTTTGTGCTTGAGGCACAGACCAGGGGGACATGTCCTTCCCAGGGCCTCCACCAGGGTGCATGTAGGGTAGGAGCCTGGGTGGCTCATCCAGGCTCCAACCTTTCCCCCAGCCTAGCAGGAGCCCCACTCACCCAGGGGCAGGGGGAATGGGGGCATAGGCAGCGGAAGGTGGGGCTAACAGGGCTTAGCCCTCCCCTTAACACAAAGCAGCAGTAATGATGCATGACAGCCTGGCTGTGGGCTTCTGGCAGCAGCAGCAGGGCTGGGGAGGGGCGGGGGGGGAAAGAGGAGAGCAGGGGCAAGAGTAGAGCAGGGGCCCATCCTGCACCCACCCCAGCTGTGCAGGGTCTATCCCTGCTCACTGTTGTGGGGAGGCAAATCAAGGCCCCAGCAGTGAGTGAGGGAGGGGGACAGCAGAGGCCTGGGGGGCACATGCCTCTACTTGTCCCACCACCTGGCCCAGCCATGCCCACTCCCCCTGTGCCCTGCTCCTGCCTGTTGCTCGGCTCCCTCCCTCACTGCTGGGGACCTGATTTGCCCACCTGTCCCCATGGTCCTTTCCTTTCCCCCCAACCCTTTCCCCATGGACTTACCTGCTGGGGGGGTGCGCAACCAAATATTTTTTCCTCCCTCTTCCTTGATCTGGCCCCTCCCCTCTTCCCTGCCCACAGATTTCCCTGCAGCGGGTGGGGGTTGGTGGAGGGTCAGAAAGCAGGGTAGATCCTAGGTTGCTTTTTAATTCAAAAAGTGATCTCCTACCCAAAAAGATTGGAGACCACCGCCCTAAGTGAAACAATCTGGTCTTGCATCTATTTTACAACCCCCACACCTTTGCATGCTTATGCTACTGCCATTCCACACACTTCTTCCCAAGAGTCTCACCATTTTGGCTGACACTGAAACTTTTCTTA